CGCTCTTTCTTTCAAGATTTTGAGAAAGACGAGGGTGATGGCAGCATTAATGCATGTAAGATGCATGATATGGTGCATGATTTTGCACAAAGTTTGACAAAAAATGAATGTTTTATTGTAGATACCGATGGTGCGGCAGAGTCCAAGTTAGACTCTTTTTCTAGAGATGCCCGACACTCCACGGTAGTGTTTAGAAATTTCACTGACCCATTTCCTGCAGCCATCCATAGTTTCAAAAAGCTTCGCAGCCTGATTGTTTATGGTTTTCCTTCATCGATGAATGCAGCCTTACCTAACTTATTCGCTAATTTGAGTTGTCTAAGAACATTGAAGTTGTCAGATTGTGGAATAGAAAAGGTCCCATCCAACATAGGAAAGTTGATACACCTGGGGCATGTTGACTTGTCTTGGAATGAGATCAGGAAGTTACCTGTAGAGATGTGTGAATTGTATAATATGCTAACTTTAGATGTCTCGTATTGTAGGAAACTTGAAAGGCTGCCTGATAACATAGGAAGACTGGTCAAATTAAGACATCTCAGTGTTCATAACAGGCAGTTTGTGAAGATGAGAGGAGTTGAGGGGTTAAGTTCTCTTCGGGAATTAGACTTCCATGTAAGTGGTAGTGATAAAGAGTCTAATATTGGGGATTTGAGAAACTTGAACCATCTTGAAGGATTTCTTACGATAAGATGGTTGGGAGATGTGAAAGATTCAGATGAGGTTAAGAAAGCAGGACTTAAGAGTAAGAAACACCTCACTGTGTTAGGTTTATGGTTTAATTCTAGAACAGATAGGAAGATATTTCGGGATGATGAAGTCCTTGAAGCCTTAGAACCACCTCCAAACTTAGAATCTTTGGAGATACATTATTACCAAGGAATTATCCCAGTGCTTCCTAGTTGGATTAATAAACTAAGGGTTGTTGGACTCTGGAATTGGGAGAAGATTGAGAAACTGCCTGCTTTGGGGAAGTTGCCATCTCTTGAAGAATTATCCGTAGGTTGGATGGAACGCAACAATAGATAAATGGCTGCAGGTAACTTCTATGTACGTAATTAGGAACTAACTTCCTCTTTTATTTATGTAATTAGGAGCTGTATAATTAATTTTAATAAAAGAACAATAGCTTTGATGAAGTAAGTGTATCATCCATTAATTTCCTAGTTGAACTGTATAATCATCTTTCGTGTTGCCATGCAGGCGCCTCACTAACAACCTTTCCCGGTGCTCAAATTCATCGGAGAAGGAGGAGATGTGTATATATCCTTTAATTAATTAATTAATTATATTGTTTCTGACTTTGCTTCTTTTTATTATTTTACTTATTGTTTCTTATAATAGTTTGAATATTATCTGTACATTATAAAAAAACAAAGTTGTTACCTTAGCATATAAATTAATAATAGTAAATTAATAATAGTGTTTCCGTGATTGCCCCGTGGTTTTTCCCCTCATCTTGAGAGGGTTTTCCACGTAAAATTATCGTTTCCTTTCCCTTCTTCTATCTTTTCTCTCTTTATTTTTTATTTTATTTTTTTTCTTCCTGTTTTGCTGTTCCTTACAGTAAACATGACTTTCAACAGCATTTTCTTAAAAGATGTTGTTTGAATGTCTTATGATTATATTCCACGTTAATTGTTGTCAATTTCATATTTTCTTCATTTCATTTTGATTTTTTATTTTAAAAATTATAAAAAGATTTAAAAACAAGTAGATAGGATGGAGAATTTGATGAGGGAATTCGTTTGTGGTACAAAACATAGCATTAAATTAACTATAATCAACGATGATCTAAGAATTATTTAATTATTTTTATGTTATAAATACTATTTCTCTTTTGTAAACTAAGAATATTAAATTATAATTAATTTACAACAAGACAAAACCCCAGTTATATTGAATTTTTTTGGACGGATATGACTTTTTTTGGACGGGAAGGAAACCCATGGAACTTGGATATATATCGTGTTCCAAGAAAAATTAATTTTTAAGTTTTAATTAGAAAAAATTAAAGTTTAGGTTTAATTATATAAATATTAAAATTTAATCATTATTAGAGATTTAATTAAAAAATCAAAACTAATGATTAAATTAGAAAAAGCGTGTGAATATAAAAACTGAAATTGAGTGAATTAAATGCAAAATTAAAAAAATAAAAATTATATTAGTCAATTAAAGGTTAAAATATATAAATTTAGAACTAATGATCAAAATAAAAAAAAATAACTAACTTTAAAGCTGATATTTAAGCTTGAGAGAGATGAAATTCAATTAATTTTTAAAATTAAAATCTCAATTTAAAAACTTGATTTATTAAATAAAAATTAAAGATTAATTTTAAAGATAGAGATTTCTAAAAGCTAGTATTTTCTTTAAATATTAGAATGGCACTATTTCGATATGTTTTATATGACAAGATATTATTTTTATTATTATTAAAAAATAACAAAACTTGATGGTAAGACGCAGGGGATTGACTTTAAAGGCGGGGGAGGAGGGTTCCCCGCCCCTTTTGCAGAGCTTCAACTCCCCCTCTCTATCCCCTCCACGTCCCCACACCACAACACAACTCATGTCTCTCTCATGACCTGCCACAATGCCTAACAGAAGCAAAGAAATAGGTCTTGAACGATCGCCAGTACCAGTACCAGTACCAGTACCAGTTTTGCTTCCATAAACAACAATGACTCATTCCTCCTAATCAACATCGTCGTCAATGCCACCATGACCACCGCTAGTGTTAGTGACCTCCCTTTATTGAATTTTTATTAGTAGAGAAATGCTGCTTAGTTAGTTTTAGCACTTTCTATTTAATTCTTCTTCTTAATTTATCCTCTTAATTGGCACCTTTAGGAACTTTCTAATCGGCAAGGTCTAATACAAGAACAAACAATATATAATTGGCTGCAGGCAATTTCCATGTACAACTCTTTTATATGTTTATTTGTTTATTTTGGGTGTTCCTAGTAGTGTTGTTCTACAGTATAATTAATTTCAATAAAAGCAGCTTTGAAGAATTAAAATGAATAATAGCTTTGATGAATTAAGAGTGTATATGATCCATCAATTTCTGAGTTCAACTATATAATCATCTTTCTTGAATGCCATGCAGCCAAACAACATGCTTCTTACAATGCATGAATTACTGGTAATTTTGTCTTTCAAACAAAACCATCTGTTGATACACCGGAGTACATTTCATAAATGCAGCACTCACCGTGCATAGACCGACCAACGATAATGTAAGAGCATATGCCATCTTTGTCATGCAAGAGATCAACCAGAAGTAATGATAATAAAATGGGAGTGAATATACAATGGCATTGGAGTGAATTTGATAGCACCAAGGGTGGCTTTCTCTCAGGATTCCAAAGCATCCATACCCATTTGGCTTCCTCAGTTGGCTTTGGAGAAGGCGTGAGAGAGAGCTGGGCACAGGGTTATTCATGCAAAGAATAAAAGAATTGCTGGCTGCTAAACGGAAAACATCAAAGAAGAAAGAGAGAGAGAGATGAATCACTATAAACGGCTGCAACAGGAGTGATGAAGAGGATAAGGGTTTGCTATGGAAGTTTTGGCGCTGGTTGGGGGTTGGTTTTGGTGTCGACCTGGAGGTCATTAATCACTGCTTCTTGTTTATCAATTTGTTATTTTTTTTTTGCCTGAACTTGAGAGAATTTGTTTGGTTCTAAATGAAATAAGTAGAACTTGTAAATTGGTTAGCTTAGGGTAGGAAGAACAATCTGGGTTGAATCAGTATCATTTACTTTGTCGATCAGGTAGATTAGATAGTTAAAAAATTTGGTTTTTTCTGTAGGGTAGAAAGAGCAATCTGGACTGTATCATTTCAATGTATCTTACTTGAAAATTGGTAGGCGGTCAATTTTATTTGGTTTTTGTACCAGCTGCTTGCAAAAAGATAATAAGCTTCCAATATTGAGCTTAAAGAAGACTGTAGCAGATGAAGCAGGGGCAATCTTACAGGAAAAACTGAGGTAGTTGTCTCCTCCAACCTAGGATTTTCAGAATCTCAGCACTCTTTTTGTTAGGTTCTAAAATTTCTAGCTTCGTGTAAATGTACTGCTGTGTAAAACTGCATCAGAGGTGACGTTAGTGTTCACCAAAATTTCTTGTTTCTCAGTGAGGAGTGGATGAGTTTTCTAAATTCAAATTAATTAGACTATGCTGAAAATACTGAGAAGTTAGTGATGATGCTTGTCGTCAATCTTGTCAGTAGCGAGATCATTGAGGTATCCTCCCTGTTTAATCATTTGAAGGCATGTTGATCCGTTTAATGATCCTTTTGTTTCGGATTAAGTCTTATAACCAACAGCGAAGACAGGAATTTTTCCTGTGGGCTGTCAAGCAGATATATATAAATTATTTTTGAAGGTTAATTATTAATTTATATATATATATATATATATATAATTTTTTCAAGTTAATAATAAAGTTTTAATTCAAATTTAAAGTATATAAAATTAAAAAAATTAAAAATAAATTATATTATCAAAATTGCACTTTTCTATATTTTGTGGAATAAAATTCATTAATGATCTAATACGAATCAATATTTTCAGCAAACTCTCATTCAATGTAAATCATCATAAAATATGTTAAAAACTCATCTTTTATTTTATTACAAAACATAATTTTAACATGTTTTATTGCTGGAAATGCTCGCTTTATGGTGACAATGAAAATAAACAAAGTCAAAATAAGATGAATCAATTTGTCAATCAAATGATAGTAATGTGACTTATTTGTTTTAACTAATCCTCGATATAATTCAAAAATAGTAGATATATTCTAAAAATTCTTATGATGAATCACACCAATCTAATAATGTTCTATCTGAAATCTCAAATAATACATTTTCTATTCATTGAAATCTTCATGATAAAATTTCTTAGCAAGTTTGCAAATAGCATCAATTTTAAATGATTTAAAGTTAACCTTTAGTTCTAAAACAAAACTAAGTACAAGGAGTTTCATTGTCCCATTACTAAATCTAGAATTTAATTATTCATACTAAAAAATGTATTATTGAGTTAAATATATTATAATAATAATATTGGTAAACTGTCACGGTTTTTCATATTGATATAAATAACCTGTAATTTTTTTATACGAAACATTTATATGTGGTATGTCAATCTGATATTATGTGCAAACAAATTATATATATGCAAAGAGAAAATCAAATTCAGCATCTCTTAAATTCGAAGCAATGCTTTATTAGTTGGTAAAAAATAAAATATAATTAAATTAATTTTCAAGTTCACAAGTAGGAGTTCTTCATTTTTTTCCAAGAAGATAATATTTTCTTTTTATCTAATAAAAGATAGATTATTCATATCTAAACTTAATGAAAAATATTTAATTTTCTTAATTAGAATTTCACTAGTATTTTATTTAGGTTATTTGCTAATAATAATTTTATCTTCCCTATTTTATAAGAGAATTTATTGTAAAAGTTCATAAATTACCGTATAAAATAATTAAATTTTCATAAATGTATTAACCAGATTTAGTTAATGGATGTCATGAGAAAACTGGTTAGTCTTTTAAATTTTAACCAAACCAAGATTAATATATTTAATAACATCTTGCTTTTAATATCATAATATATATCGACTAAAATTTTTTAGTCTTGAAATCCAGAAAAAATTTATATTTTTTAAAATATTAAAGATAAAAGAAAGAATATAATTTTATTATTTTTTCATGAAGATATTCTTATCAATTTATTGGATAAAAGATAAATTATTTATATAAAAACTTAATAAAAAAATTCAATATTTCAACTAGATTTTCACTGAGTTATGCTTTTTGATTGTTTGCTAAGAATCATTTCACAATCCTAAATAATATTAAATGAGAATATTAATGTTGGGGTTTTTTTTTACAAAAATACATTTAGAAAAAATTAATTTAGACCCATTAGAGCACTAAAACAACTTTTTTTTAGAACTTAGCTGCATTTAATTACTGCATGTATATGTAAATTAAAATTTTGGATACTGATTTTTTTCTCTGCCTGCGCTACAGCCCATCTCAGCCATCTACACCCCTCCGCCTATGCTTATAACTATTGTCTTCACAGGTGGCTTTTCTATGAATTTATTATTATCAGAAATTCGACGTGTCTTTAACATCTTTTTTCTTCTCTCTGTTTTTTATGCTATATGTTAATAGCTATTGGATTACTTTTGTTTATTTTATAGCTATTGATTCTTTATGCAGCATGCATGTTGACTTTTGAGAGAATAAATTAATTTGCTAGAGAAAATTGAAGTTTAAGAGTGTGTATTTGAAATTATGGTTTAAGTTGTTTTTTAAAATATTTTTTATTTAAAAATATATTAAAATAATATATTTTTTAAATTATTTTTAATATTAACGCATTAAAATTATTTAAAAATATTAAAAAAATATCAATTTAAAAAAATAAAAAAACATTTTTTTAAAAAATATTTTTAAAACTTAAATGGCCTGAGTAGTAGAAATTTTATCTGCACTCGTTAAGTAATATGTAATTTTTTAATTTAAGCTATGTTTGTTTTCTAAAATTTATTTTCCACAAAACTACTTCCCAAACTTTCATGTGTTTATTTGTTATTATGAAAGTAGGTTAATGAAAAATATTTTATAGTGAAAGGAAAATTTAACTTGGTTTTCAGAAAAGTATTACATGTTGACTTTTGACAGCATAGATTAATTTGCCAGAGAAAATTAAAGTTTAAGAGTGTTTATTTAAAATTATAGTTGTAGTTGTTTTTTAAAATATTTTTTATTTAAAAATATATTAAAATAATAT